TATATATATATGTAGTAATTAATTATAAGTATGAATATTGCGGTTATAGTCTTGAAGTCAAATTACTTATTAATACAAGTTATTGATTTATATAAAATGTATTAAAAATAATGTATTAAAACTTATGATTATGATTATCTGCAATAGCCAGTGAGTAAAACTTTGATAGGACTATTCTAAACTTTGGCATGCATGTCGGAAAAATAGATGCAATTTATCACGAATGTAGTAATATAGAATTTTTAAAAGTTCTAGTTGCATGCAGTAAATTATGAAGATAGTAATTTTATATATTTTTACCTTAAATTTTTGAAATTTTAACAAATATCTCTTTTTTATTTGTTTATATTTGTGATTTTAAATGTAATACATAAAATCAGTCCATTTTATTTCAGTGTTATTTCAAAATTGCATTAATTACATTAATTATATTGTTAATATTAAGTAGGAAAAGTATTATATGTGTAAATATGTGTCACAAATTCTCAATGATTCACTTTGCTTTATATTGCAAAATTTATTTTAAATATAATTATATTTTAAAATTAAGTTTATTCTTTTATTTACATTTATTATTTTTGCATGTAAGTTTTATTAATTATTCATTTAACATGAATGTAACATGAACATAAATTTTTATATAACATTTTATGGTTTATATATAATTTTAACATTCAACGACATTAATGTATTGTAAAAATATTACATTGCTACAGACTGTTGCTCCTACTATTACTACATCTACTACAACCCCAGGAACAGTGACTACTGCACCCACAACTACTTCTACACCAACGGCTACCACTGTTCAAACAGCTCAAACTTCTACACCGGTATATTTCATTTCTATTAAGCTGAAATCTTTACAAATTAGTAACGATGTCTATTTTATTTGAAAAGTTTCATATAAAATTAAATTTTATACACTAAAATGATTTAATTTTATATACTATTTGTAAATAATTATGTCTCTCTTTTCTTTTAGCGTCAAACTACTGATAATACCAAAGAAAAGTGCCGTAAATTCTTAGCAAACTTATTAGAATTATCTAGTCGAGAGCCTAAAGCAGTGGAACGCAATGTTCGAACTTTGATACAAGAACTGATTGATACTAAGGTCGAGCCAGAAGAATTTTGCGACAGACTTGAAAAATTATTAAATGCTTCACCACAACCATGTCTCATTGGATTTTTGAAGAAAAGTTTGCCTCTTTTACGGCAATCACTCGTCACGAAGGAATTGGTCATAGAGGGAATAAAGCCGCCTCCAGCCAATGTTGTTTTTTCTATAGCGTCGGCTGTTGTTCCAACTATTACGGTAAAATAATTTTTGTATATGATATACGAAAAATACAATACAGAGTGAATATTAATTCACTCTGTATTGTATTTTTTGAATATAAAGCAGGTTGGACCAGCTTTTTACCATAAGAGATAAATTACCGACTGCAAGTCTAATTGATTTAGCGTTTTGTAGATACACTGCGAACTGTATATTTTTTGTATATAACAATAATATACAACATAACATAAGTATTATAATATTAATAGTATAATATTAATATTATATTAATAGTATAATAAAAATTAATTGTATACAAATAATATATTGTTTATCACAGGATTATCACATCATTTTCTAACTTGTAATTATATGTTATTGTATATTGTAGCAACCACAATACAGACCTACAGTAGCAGTGGCAACGGCAGCAACCGTTCCTGTAACAGCAACTGCAACAGCAACAACACAAGTGAGAGTAATGACACCGCTTCCAACAGCAGTAACAACAGCAACAGTAGTTACAACAACAGTTCCACGACCTGTTCAAACTATTCCACAAAGGCTGGTAAGGTTTCGATTTATCGTTTAGAATCGTTAATATATATTTATACAGATAAACAATAATTAATTTATAAAACAATTCTAAGAGTAAGATGTATTTATTAATCTTTTCTTAATTAAATAGGACACTTAGTATAATAGTATAGGAATAAATATGAGGAATTGTTTTAATAACATATTAGAAATTATGCGTTTCTTTTTTGTAATTTTTTACGAGTGCAATTGAATTACATTGTACAATAAGAATTACATTATTTTAGGTTCGACCAGTAACGACGGTGGTTCGGAGCCCTACCGCAGCATATACAGTGAAATCGACAGTAGCAACAACTGGAATTCGCCCCACTGCCCCTGTCGTGCAAAAACCACCTATAATTACAACCACCGTTGTAAAACCAATCACTACTACGCAAGGAAAAACACTCAATACCACCACTACTGTTAATAAAGCCGTAGTGCCTTCTCTTGTTCAAAAACCGGCTGCGAAGGAGAAAGAGAAAAAGACGTTTTCATCAGCAGGATATACGTAAGTTTTATTGCCTAAGGACGCTGTAAATAGTTGATTATTGTGAGCAAATTAACAAATGAGAAACGAAGATACGAGAAACATCTGAAGTTAATGCATACCATAATTATTATAAACTTACAACATGTAGTGATTTATTATATTATATAGGGCGGATGATGACATAAATGATGTAGCAGCTATGGGTGGTGTTAATCTTGCGGAGGAATCTCAAAGAATACTCGGTTCTACAGAATTTGTTGGTACTCAGATACGATCTTGTAAAGATGAAGTATTTTTGCACATGACGCCATTACAACAAAGAATTAAACAAATTGGTAATTTTATTCTTTTTAGCATATAAAAACCGATAGAGTAATATATAAGTTAATTCTAACAACGATATATTATTTTATAGCATCCAGTCATGGGTTGGAAGAACCCAATCAAGAAGTAGCAGCATTAATTTCGCACGCTGTTCAAGAAAGGTTAAAGAATTTAGTAGAAAAGTTAGCAGTCATCACAGAACATAGGATAGATCTTATAAAGGTAAAATTCATAGAGATCTTAAAATTTATAGAAAGGGAAAGAAACGTTATTTATTTTAAGTTTGTGTTTCTATTTATACAGATATAATTCGTAGATATCAATCTACTAATTAAAATTTTTTAAATATAAATTAATGGATATTTTAACGGGTTCTTTTTTTCGTTTTTTTATAATATTCTATCTGATTACAGGTCGATCCTAGATATGAAGTAACACAAGATGTAAGAGGACAATTAAAATTTTTGGAAGATTTAGATAGAATTGAACGTAGAAAACACGAAGAACAAGAACGGGAATTACTTTTACGTGCTGCAAAGAGTCGTGCAAAAACAGAAGATCCCAAGCAAGCAGAATTAAAAGCTAAGGCCAAAGAGGTAATATATAAATACTTATTCTGCAATCTATTATAAATTTTGTTACGTAAATTTCAATTTTATCTAATTATATAGTTTCTGTGAAGTTTACCTTTTTATAATTTATTTAAAATATTTCAGATGCAACGCGTAGAGATGGAACAATTAAGGACAAGGGATGCGAATATAACAGCTTTGCAAGCAATTGGCCCTCGTAAGAAGCCTAAACTCGATACGGCAGGATCGACCAACAGCACTCCTAGCGCAAATGCATCAGTGAGCGGATTAAATAGGCAAATGCCCATGAGACCACGTTTGAAGAGAGTAAACTTCAGGGATTTGATATTTCTTCTCGAACAAGAGAAAGAAACATGTAGAAGCACAACACTGTATAAATCTTACTTGAAGTGATGCACTGTGAAGGGCAGGAACTTTAGTGACCCGCCCAAAATCTGGCGCTCTATCTGTATGGTCTTGTATGAGCTGGCCTCGATGGATCGTGCGACGTTATTTTACGTTGCAATGTATAGTAAGTTATTGCAAATTGCATATTACTGCAATGAAAATTATTGGGAATTGGCTTGGGATTCTGCGTATATTCAAGGTAAAATTGTTTCCATCATGTCGATACTAAGCTTCCCTATTGTAAATGACTGAACATTTTTTAACTGTAGCATACGTTTTTTAAATGTAACATAATAGATCGCTCTTTATTTTTCAACACAAAATCGCATCGATGAAAAGAGTAATGTGTATGAGCACATGTCTCGTGATTAGTCTCTACGTAGTCCTTTCGTGGTGTGTATGAGAGAGAGAAAGAAAAAAAGAGAGAAAATCATGTATGTATGACCATAGAAATATTGTTACACAATGAATGTGTGAATGTACATTAAATGAATGAATGTCTTGTCACTATGTGTAGGTTCGCTGCATTGTAATACTTGACCTATACTTTTGGACACTGTAGCGTTAGTGTAAAATAAGCAGGTTTTGTTATAATAGTAAATCGTATTTTTGCAAACTATAATGTAATAATAATACCACGAGCACACTGTCCAAAAAGTATGGAATAATTTGTACAATATCTTACACATAATTACTAAATAGTGATAATTTCAATGTTGGTACAACAGAATATAGCTACTCTCCACCGGAAGTTGGAATTGTTATCAGTATATTATGTTGTATATTGCAATCAACATTTTCAGTGTTTATAAAAAAAATTAGCTGTTACGTTTTTTATTAAAGAAATATTTACAAAACTAAGAATAACCAATATTTTTTTGATTGATGTTAATTTAATTATTTATATTTCCTTCTCGGAATTTTGGTGCGGATTCTGCTAATAATGAACTTTTGCAGAAATACTTTGCATAATAAATTAAAACAAATTCAAAGCGAGTACCTGATTTACATGTAAAAAAGTAGCCACAAATGTACGTGGTGCCTGAGATCATAGAGAACAATGCTTATAAAATATCTATTTTTTGGTTCTTTCGTGATGTCGGTTTATATTATATTATTTATATGTCTGTATTTTTTTCGACGATCAAGAAAGTTATATATATTAGTCATAATTAATGTTTTATACACATAAAACATATGATTAATCTTTGTAGCTTTACATCATATTGTTTGCAACATAATGTGGAACTATTTGTGCAATACAAGCACATTTTTAGTAGATATTTTTCCCTTGTATCACAATTGTTTTACAGCTCTCATGTTAATCTTTCACATACTCTGATAATACCTTTATTAAAATATTTTACTTCATGTTGCTTTAATTATAAATTTTTGATATAACAGTTTATATCAAGATTTATATTACAGTAAAAAGAAATCTCACGTACTTTCGAGTACTGCCAATCTTTGAAATGCCTATTATGAAATAGCATAATGTCGCCTTTATTACTAATCCATACATAAGTGTTGATTAAATTATTTGGTATAAGATATATATTGTTATATGGAATATGTTTGTGTATTCTATGCTCAAAGTCGACAGAGAATAATTTATATCAACATTTAATATTTAGCAATTTCTGTGCTTCCAGTTTGAATAGAAGAGCACAATAAAATAACATTTTTATTATAATATATTCCGACGTATGATAACGTTTCTTAGCTTTCAGGTATCAATAAACAGAATGGAGAATGAACGCGTGTAATAGTCACAATTGTTAATTATTGTTACACGCAACAATTGGTTTAATTGGTCAATGATTTCACGTAGAAAAGACTGAACAAATATGATGTGTAAGGAAGATAAGTTTGGACATATGAATTGTAATGTATTATAGCACAAAATTTATGTAATTGGAAAAATATCGTTATGTAGAATTTCATACATCTGAAGCGTTAATATGGGAGGGATAATCAGAGGCGACATAATTTACGTACGTATTTATATAAGTACTTCAATTACTTTTTTTTCTGTCATTACAATTGATTTGATCATTTTTGAGAGAACTATTGCGATTGAGCAGCATTTACATATGCTAAAATTTAAACTAAAAATAATACCCACCTGATCTATCTAATTAATATTCAAACAATCTGTCGTGACAGAAATGGCAATGTGTATACCTTGTGTAAATAAGTCGTTTTTAATAACTGCATACTTTATTTGAGAAGCGTTTGAAATCATTATGTACCAATTTTTGCTGAGCACATCGCGTATAGAAATCCTCACTTAGCTGTATTGTCCTCTTTGCAATTATTATAACATTTTTTACAAATTCGAAGTAAAACGTAAAACGTGCATAAATCATAACGTTCTCTTACTGCCAGTAGGTGGAATATTAATTAATATATCTATAAATAGAGAAGAAGATTATGAAAAGATAACAGTACATTACAATTTTGGTACATTATGATATTTTTATAAATTGTACTGGGTAAGCAGTAAGCGTGAGATAATAAAATATAAGAAAACAAATCTCGTCGAAATGCAAATCACATTTCTTTATTTTTTAGTGTGATATTATCTTTAGTTCTATAATGTATTAAAGTGATTATTAAAAATAGAATTTTCCTTTTTATATTTTTTATATTATAGAAATATTTATGTTGAATATTTTTTGGAAAGAGCAAACGTATAATGATAAACATAACACTGTAGGATTTTAATCAAGTTCATGATATCTAATTTGCGTCAAACAATCTTTAATTTTTTTTAAGTATGATCTTTTTAATATTTTTGAAGTTTTTTTTCAACAATGACTGTTTATGCACAAATGCGAACTTTGATATTTATGATATTGGAACATACCTGGCGCGAGTATGTATCTGTAGTTTATATTATTTCTTTTTAAACATATCTATTTTGGAACTTTACGCGCGTTTCCAAGTTTAAATAATGAACGATTTATCTCCAATGTTATAATATAATTAATATATTACGTAATAATCTTCAAAATTTTTATTAACTCTCTCAGAGTAGATAGTACCATCACTTCACAAAACATTTCTCTCTTTCTATGATATTTTGATCTAAACTAAATAGGAGAGAACAAATGTATGCGAGACGATAATCATAGTTATTTGTTTAATATAAAGTGTAAAAAAGAATCCGATGTAATTTTATTACATACAATATATATATATCATTGATCATTAATAAAAAACAAAAAAAATTTTAAATAAAAAGATGATTAAAAATAATAATTATAAATGAAAAGATTAGAGAATAAGTTTTAGAAGAGATGGTAAAAATTTCTTGTATTTATATACACTTTTTCTTGATGTTCACACTCAAAACAATTTTCTTTTCAACTTATGTAAATTAGATCTACGTTTATTGTATTAATTTGTTATATCTATTAATTTAAATTCTTGAAAGCTCTTGAAAACTTTTCTTTATGTGTAACTGAAGTTGAATTAGTTTTGCGCTTCTAATGAGAACGAGATGAAGATAAAAATAGTACGTGATAGAATAAAGTGCAAGATGTTTTGCAAAGTATTGGCTGCAGACTTTTTTAAGTGGATCAATGACGATGGAAGTTGAGGATGTCTTCGAATTTCATATCTATCTAAAAAGCCTGTTTTTTTGCGTAGCCTGTGGCTTTGTGTTGTGTATATTGGAAAACTCCGGTATTAAGGTGGCCAGGGCGATCCAGAAATGGAATATAATCAGTTCGAGAAGGGAGAGAGAGAGAGAGTGAGACAGACGAGACGCAGAGAAGCAGAGGAAGAGAGAAGAGTGAAAGAGCGAGCAAGAGAAAGATAGAGAGAGAAGAACGTTTCACCGGATGGATTCGAGGGATGACAGCCCCAGGCTAGTGAAACCCTCGAGCGACTCGGATATTGAGTTCATAGTAACCATGGAGATGGGGCCCGAGGGCACGACGTTTGTGCGCTTTATCCCTTATTCCCGCTGTTATGTGATCAACGCGGTCCCAATGAGTCTCTTACTTTGCCTCTCACGTACACGCTCCATTCTTGCTTAGTCTGCGTCAAACTGATCAAGTTATATATATTTTCTAAATTTTTTTTTAGTGAATTTTCTATTTCTATTTTAGATTTTCTACAGTATAAAATAATAACGATAGTTATATATTACAATACTGATAATATTACGCTTTAGTACGCTTAACATTACGTGCGGTAAATTCTTTTAAATAAATAAAGATTTTTTAATTTATGAAAGGTATTCGATCTCCTTATTGTTTTCTCTTATTCTTTCTTTTTGAGTAAGGCAGTAGAACAATAATTTTTTTATGATTATGCTTTATCACGTCTTTTTCCACTCTTTTCTCAAAATGATCAGTCTTTTGTGAAATTATTCAATTCTTGATCTTGGTTTGGGCGAGATCCAGGAACTGTAGGATTGTCGCTGCACATTCTTGAACGGGGGGGGGGGGGTTCCGGCTGATCGTCTAGATACTGTAACCAAATGCAATTTCACCAGGAATTTCATGTAGAATTTGTGATCCCTCATCGCTGCCAGACGTAAGCATGCATTACCAGAGTGATCTTTGAACAGAGCTTGACGAGAAGACAGCTCTATTCAGAGATTTGATGAGAAAATTCGATACTGCTTGTGGCATCATAATCCTGTGCCGTTGATAGCCATTATGGCGGACGTATGTTTAATAATATGCCTGTCTATATAAAAATAATAACGATAACTTATTAAAGCTAATACGTTCACGCCACACGTTTGAAATTACAAGCCAGTTGATATATCTTACTTGATGACAGATTCTGTTTATTTTTGCCAAGATTTTCTTATGTTTATTTCTATCAATGTAGATTAACTTTAATCTCAGTTTAGCTTATTTTTATTTGTTTCTAATTCTAAGAATAAGAAAGAAATACAACAATAAATTAACGAGTTAAAGTTAATCTTATTGACAGAAGTGGATATGATTTTTGGAAAACAAGTTATTCTCCAAATATAAAAAAAAAGTCGATTTAATTTTTTATACTTCATTTATTACTATCTTTTTTTACCAATACTTGAATTAGATTCACTAATCGCCTTTTGAATTTTGCGCCAGATGTAATTTAAGTGTAATCTGTTCGCCGAACACGCGGAAGAAATCAAATCACACGAATCAAATCAAATCGAGTAGTTTAATTAACAAGAAGCTACTATATTCCTTGATAATATTGATAATATATTTATTAATAATACATAATTCCTATTTTATTTATATTTTCGAAATATTTTGTGCTTGGATTACATATAATACTTTCAGATAATTAGTTGCATCCTTTTTAACTATTAATTTGACTCGCGTTGTAGCGTGCGTGCCGTATTGGGGTAAAGTTGGTGACAATTTCGTAAATTTTCCGTCGTCGTTAACGGACAACGTAAGCCGTGGCATCGCGACGCGTCGTGACATAGTAAGTATAGTCGTAAATATAATAAATATCATAAAAATCGTAAATAGGAATAATCGCGCAATGTAAAAAGTGATAGAAAGATCCAAGATCTATCGAGGATTCGTTAAAACGCATATTTTGCGAAATTGTTTGATCGAGAATCGTTACGCGAATGCGTTGATCGATGGGGACGGGATATTTTCAGATACCGTATCTCGTGGACATTTAGTCGTGCTTTTAATTCATACATTTATTTATGCTACTCGTGTTATTTAGTCATCAGAATGTGTATATGATAAAATCGTTATAAAATATAAGCGATGTATCGTGATGAAAAGTGTGT